TAAAAAGTTAAAAAATTATAGCTAAAATTGCTTCTAATAATTCTCCAGTTCCCGGTACCCTTAACGTACCCTTAAAAAAGTAAGGTATTTGTCTCACAGGTACGAGTTATCTGCCTAACGAATTCCAAAGGGACATAGTTATAAATTTTTTAGTATTACTATAGTAATTACTAACTTCTTTTACTATTTTTACTTTATTTATACTATAGTAAAATTAAAATTATTTACTTAAAGGGTATTTAATTTATTTAAGTAGTATTTAATTTAAAAAAATATATAAGATATATATAAAAAGAGGTATATGTATTAAGTTTAGCTAGTAATTAAAATAGTAATACTAAAAAATTTACAACCATGCAAAGGGATTGTAATCCATGTCAACCCACTCGCCCTAACCAGGCAAAGTACCAATGTGCCTACCTACCTACCCTGGACGGATCGATACCTCCTTTTAGTGCTTCTTCTTGACAGAACACAGCAATGCGATCGTGAGTGTTCTTTTAGTGAAGCGCGGTGAGCAATGATGACACGACATCAAGTGCCATTCTTCCCCTTGTTTCTACAATATATAGTGGATTAGTGTAATTGCCGGCCTGTCTGTCAGGGTATGGTAATGCATCGGCTCGATGAACTGGTACTTCCAGAAGACATGTCCGGAACTCGAGCCCCATTCATTGGCTGCGAATGAGAGAGAACTACCCGTCTGCGACGTCAAAATAGCAAGAAAAACAACCCAACACCACCCTGAGATACCTCAATAGCACGTTCCGGCCTATCCATATACCTCATTTACACATTCGATACCCCTCACCTTTGTCAGATCGTCGAGTATGTATATATAGGTACCTTTCCGTCCAATACCCGCAACACCGTGAGCTGCCTCGCTCCTCGCCCATTCATAAATAAATATCGCCCCCTTCGCCAGCAACCCATCGTTGCCACGCTTGCTCATATGCTGTTTCGACATCATTCACCCAACGCTTCGTGTTGAAGAGCCCGCAGTGCCATTTGCTATCCCACAACAACTTGCGTAGATTTGCCAAGCGGCCATCACCCTGACCATAGCCGTCCCCGGACATGGTGTAGCTGAGGCCGGTGGCGAGTTCAACAGCGCGTTGCTCGTACTCTTCTTCACTCGTGGCGATCAATTCTGCTGCAGCCTCTCGGCCTTCTGTTGATTTAGGCAGAGCGCCCTTCAAGATTGATGCGGCCATACGAGAGCACATCTTGTATGGGTATCGAGGAAGCGTGAGTAAGGGTGTGCTCGACCAGAGAACATCTGCTGCTGTTGTATGGGCATTGCACTCAGGGGTGTCGAGAAACAGGTCACACACACGAGCCCTCGAGATATGCTGACTCTTTGGCGCTACGTCTGTGAAGATCAGACGACTGGCCACTTCTTCACCAGCCCAGGCCCTAGCAGTTCGCCGCAGATTGGCTTCCCCGAGCTCCGGAAATCGAAGTAGCCATATCACTGCCTTTGGCACCTGTGCCAGAATTCTAAGCCATGTTCTAAAGGTCGTAGGCTCGATCTGGTCGAAATCAGTTAGTGAAAGTCCGGTAAAAAGCCGGATGAGCAACGGACGTACCTTGTATAACTGGTTGAAATTGCCCATGATGATAGTGTCATTACTCAAAGTAGGAAAGAGCTCCTTTCGCATCTTCCAGCGACGCCTCTGCTCTTGTTCCCAAGTGACCGATCGTTCACTCGCATCGCATGACTGAGCATGGTCGCAACAGAAGAAAGTATCCCGGCAATAGATGATATTTTCCGAGTACATCCAATCTTCCTCCTCGCCCTCCGTATCATCCTTGAAAACATCAGCGATGTTGAAGTTTCCACGCCAGGGCCGTAGGGTCTCGGGCGGAATGGCTGTGCTATCAGCCAGGATGTAATCGCACCACTCAGCACCCAGGGTACCGGCAAAGCCCATGAAGGACATCTGGACCGGGGCAGGTCGTGCAGCAAAAATTTCGTTGCGTGCCCCTCTTGTATAGCCGTTGAGGTTGACAAGGATATGGATCTCGTCCTTGATAATTTGTTCTACCAGTTTATCTGCGGGCCAACTACTGACGTCACGAAAAACAGGAGCCTCTCTTTCGATCTGCTGTCGGTGGACAGATCGGTCGCTTGCGGTTGTAGCATAGCAAATGGCGCGTGCCCGACTTGGATTGTGGAATCCAAACACTGATTGCATCCTAAATTTCAATCCATGCGCGATTAGAGACTCGGAAACACACTCAAGAGACGGGGGATCTTACAGGTGAGCCAAGGGGTGGTTGTTGAAGTCCGACGATACATATCCTATGTTAAGGTGTGGTTTAGGGGGAGGTGGTGGGGGATAGACTGTGGAAGGGAGCCATGGCAAACGTAGTGTTGAACAAGATATTCGAATACCATTGCGCTGAGAAATGACTCGAATGTCCTTTGCTGATAGGGGGCATGTGAAGGTGTGAAAGGGTAGGACAGTTGGTGCTGAAGGAACGCTGAGTCCGCTGGGTAATCGAAGACGAGTGTACTGGGTATGTGTTTGGCTGCTAGAGACGTGCTGATCCTGATACCATTTCCATTGCGTTGCACGAGCTGCACGCTCTATCAAACGTATCACGCGTGAGCCCTCCCATGGTTTGTTGCTCCATCCCCTAAGAGCTTGCTCAGGGTCGAACGACGTGACTAGGCCTAGGTCCTTAATCTGCCGCGTAAACGAGGCGATTTTCTTCTCATCGAGAACCCCCTGACCCCAATGTGATGCGTCACTCAACTGGCGATTGATAATCCGTACGACACGCTTGACAAGGCCGCTATCAAGACCGAAAGAACGGGCATCAATGAGCAGACCTTTGTCATCAACGTGCCATCGATCATATTTGCCGGATTTCAAAATAACACCGCCGCGACCTCTCCAGTCACAAACAGAGTTGAGAGCTGTAGATAGACCACACACGGCTTCCGCGAATTCGGGGTTGGAGCTCACAGCGCGTTTGTAATACGTTATTGCATCGTTGATGCGTCCCCTGTCCTTAACAGCATTGGCAAGGTTTGTCAAGGCGATATCAAAAGTCCCATCGCACGCCACAGCCTGTTCATACATTTGTATCGCAAGATCCAATTGTCCAATGTCTTTGAGCAGACTTCCCAAGTTGGTGTGTAAATGGACATGCTTGGGATCCAGGCGTAGGCCATAGTGATAGTACGCCAAAGCCAAAGCCAGACCGCTGCCTGGTACTATGCCTGGAATGCTCGAATGGGCAGGCACATCAACATTCGGAGTGGGGGGATTTGATGCTATCTGTTGAACACCGGCGAGGAGGATGCCGACATTGTTAGCCGTGGAAGGGCTTTCCTGAAGTGAAAGTGATAGATAGTAAAGGGCCAGGATATCTTCAACCCCAGAAGGGCGTCGTAGAATGTTCGGGGTTCCTTGCCCACTTGACAAACAATCTTGGAATATCTTCGCCAACGATAACAGGGAATTGCTCGTGGTCTGTACAGCAGCTCGCTTGGTTGAGCCTTCAGCTACATGCTGCAAACCCGGCAGAGAGCCAGTGCCGCCGAAGACGAGCTGTGCAGTATGACGAGCCCTTTCAGGAGGGAGTAATAAGGGCCGAGTACCGTGCCTAGCGTTCCTATGCCAGACTGGAGTTTCTGTTGGAGATAAGGCAGTCTGGATTCGACGAACAAGATCCTGTATACTAGTCATTTGGCGGCCTACGCTGATCAATACGGCCTCTTCAAAAGCCTCTGATGCTCTGTTCACATCTTTAAGACTGTATAGCATGGTTCCCTTTGCATGTATGAGAGCCAGGACACGCCCATTCTCTTTCCCATGAATAGCATAGCCACTGGATGCAAAGCCAGGAGGTTTCACTAGTTGGTCGTGAGATCCGGCTTGCTGATTCTGCGCCTATCCCATGTCAGTATTCCCACAATACAGGCGCTATGCGCCCTGCCAAGGCATATAGAAAATAGCATGCTGGCTGCTGCCAATCATTTCTAACGGGTCACATACCGGCAATACCCTTAGAGCGCGTTGAACGTGGTCGATGATCTCGACGGCCTCTTTGCTGCGCTTTTTGTAAAGAAGTCCAACAAGATGTTCAACAGCTTCTAAGTAACTGGGCTGCACTTCCACAGCTCTGATCCAGTGTTTCTCGGCCTCGTCTTGGCGGCCGAGACAGTAAAGAGTGGCGGCTTTATTCGTAATTGCCTCGACATGACTGCGAAAGAGTCAGAACAATGAACAGCCACTTGACAGTTCACGTGGGAGAAGAGGTTTACCTCGAGTCAAGGGCGGTAATTCTCGAGAACCATTCCAACGCCTCTTGATATTGATCTAGACCATAGTGTAAACACCCGCCTAGCATTATCCCATCGATCCAGCTCCAGGTACTCTGTTCGCAAAGACTGCTGAGCATATCTAAAATAGACTTTGCTGCTGCAAAAAGTGTTGAATTACCCGTGGAAGAATAACTGTTATACGGTCCCTGGAAGTAGGGTAACACATGTCCCCTTGACTGGAAGTCTTGGTACGAATCATTCTCAGAGGAGATGTTGAATGATGTAGGATCTTGTCCAAGTGCGGCCTCAGATATTCTCAAGGAAGGTTTCGGAGGTTTAGGGTAAACAAGAAGCCTCGGGGAGGTGCTGTGTGCTCCTTTGGAAGCCTGCGGTTTCCGGATAGTTTGTGCGTATGCCAGCAGATCGACGTAGACCCTATGCGCCTGTAACAATACTTTCTCTCTGAAACCTTGCTGGCTGCTCATATGAGGTGGCCGAAGATATGATTGCGTGTGCATGCCCGAATTGAATCCAGGATGATGCTGAGTTTCCGAGTCAAAACCTGAAGCAAAGGAAGAACGACGACGTGCGAAATCAGAACCGCAATGCTGCTGGAAAGAGCGCAAGTCCTGCGGCTGAACGTGCCTTGCTGACGCCAGGCCAGGTCGGCCATGATAGTTCCATGGCGTATGCATGCCTGGCTGACCAAAAGGCAGCGATTCGTTCATGACTATAGGGGGTGGGCAAAATGCCCTGACATTGTACTCGTGAGCTCGTATTATTGGTTGGTAAAGATTAGGGAATACCCCCGGCGCTTCGGGCTGGCCTGGAGGAATGTATTGGCCTTCGGCTTGATGAAGGCCATAATGATTAGTGGGAAGTGCACTACGAGGCAATGCCGCATCGCTCCCATAAGCCCAAGTGGAAGACCCGGGACGGGCTTGTAGGTCATCGCTGAGACCAGTATTGCCGACCGAAGATGGACGGCGGTAGTCGATGCTCCCATTGTAATGAGATTGGCGTATTGGAGGGCCTGCCAGGGGAAATGCCGTAGCCGTCGCTGATCGAGGTAGAACTAAATGTTTCGAAGGCGGGGGACCATGGGAAAACAACGACGGCGAGCCGTCATATCCGGCATCGACAGTACCGTTTGGTGTCTTTCGTCGTAAATGATGCTCTTGGCGTGGTGGATAAAGAGCTGAGCCGTACGGGATAGTGTGCCGGTGAGGTCGAGAGGTGCGAATCGCGAATGACTGCTGATACGGCGCTGGGACATTGCGAGGGTGATGGTCGTTGAAAGTGGCGTCGTCGCTATTTGGGAACGTTGAGAGGGTATCGAGATTCGACTGCGGCGGCGTCACCGCGTGAGGGGACATTTGAAGGAGAGGTAACATGACAACGGGGTATATTGGCGAGGAAACAAAAGTGACTGAAAACGCAGGACAAAAGACACTGATGGAAGTCTGTAGGTCATGGCCTGTTGGTTAAAGGGCATGGCTGGCGGTTGCGCTTGGTATTGAAGTGTCGAGTTGATTGCTGACAAGCATCTGGGCAAGTGAGAAAGGCGAGTGTAGCGCCAGCGACACGCCAGAGAACCACAAACTTCGAGCTGTTACGAGAGAGCCTTGTGCTGTCTTGAAACCGGAAGAATGGCCTTTGTGTTGGTGAGTAAGAGAAAGAGGAAGAGAGAGGGTCAGGCGTTTCCAGGTGACTCTGTAAAGCAATGTCTATCGATCTATCGCAGAGGGACCGAATATCAAGTCGCACGGGAAATCACTATCGCGTTCATCGTCTCACAAAAGAGTTTATGTTTGCAGTGACAGGGAATCAGAGTCTGATGAAAGCCCCAGATCCCTAGATATCGGTCAAGTAAATGCTGAATGAGGCCTTCAGGTCAATACAAGCAGAACAAGCACTTGACAAAAGAGAGCTGTATCGGTAGGTACCTTAGGTAGTGGTAGTGGAGGTACAAGGCCAGGTTCAATGGAGCAAGGCCCGTGGTTAAGTTAGTGGAGAACCTGTGACGGCGGGAGGGGGGCAGGGCGTCCCACATTGGGGCGGGAGAGACGGAGTCACAAAGGCACCTCACCTCAAACTTGGGCACCACTTTGCCTACTAAGCCTACCTATGATATGGATGATGGGGAGGGAAGAAAACTTAGGACATACTTCTCAAGTGATAAAAAAATCAATCTTAAGGAGTCCTAAATTTACACTAGAATTCCCTGAATATTTTTATCACTCTCAACAGAGGATCCAAGTTTTCTTACTCCTCGAAGCCCCTCTCAACCCGGCATGTGCCATAATAAGCGCGGACAGACCATTTCCCTCCATCCATCCATCCACACTCATGCTTACAATGCCCACTTCCCCAACCAACGACAACTCGAACCCCAGATAGAGATTGCGTCAATTTAGCACTTGACACAGATAAACAACTCGGCGCAGAGCGGGAAGAAAGTATGGACCAAGTCAAGTATTTGCAAATTGAAACATTGAGTGCATACCAAACCAGTATTGCTCCCGTCCTTGTTGAGCTGCATGCAATGTATTTGAAGTATGCAACGTACATACAGGGGCCTTGCGCGATGAGTTTGCTGTAGCATGTCCTGATAGTCATTGGATCCATCCATCATCCATGCCAGCATGAGGCGTTGGAAATGGGGCCTCTGATCTCACCCATGCCCGTGGATGCGAGTGATTGAATACCCTCAGATACGATGAGACAGGTATTTAAGATATCGCCTATCGTACCACATCGCTGGTATACTTGCCGCATGTGGATAGTCTCGGCATTTTATCCATCCAACTCAACTGGATCCTTCTCGCGGCCTGAAGATTCCACATGGCTTGGTATCGTCTCGTAAACAAGTAGATCAGACTGAAAGTATGTTGCTTCAAATGATGTTTGAGTCAAAACTTGGTGAACATCATGGCGAACTGGCACTTTCGATGGCGGAAACAATGTAATGCATGATATGCCATGTATTCGTTTACAATTACTACAAAAACGACTCGATGGTATATTTCTCAATGCCTTGTTCTACCTATTCGAGGAGGCACCGCGAGCAAGGGCTTGTGCAGCACAATAGAGTGACAGGGAGGTGTTCTCGAAAGAAGTGGAAGGAACTTTGATCGGAAATTTTTGTATCATGTTGCCATGATGATGGACCGCTACATCCACAAGAGCTTTATTGCTAGTATGTCGCGGTGAGTATTGGGCTTAGGTTCCTCTTCCTTGAACAAAAATAGAAATAAACCACAGGGCATGATGGTAGATTTCAGAGTGAGTCAAGGGTTCACAATTTCGAAGCACATCGCAAGGGCTGGACGGAAATAATTTGCCATGCTACCATCGATCAATGAGTCTATTTTTTGTTTCTCATACTGGTAAGATTTTTTGAACAGAGCGTGAGATACATTTACTCCTCAGGGACTATTCACAAATTAGCGCAAGGAAATTTCAAATAGGATGTACCGAGACTCACTGTCGATGTCTCCGCTGTCAATGGCCTCGATGATAGCCTGGGGAGGCTTGCCATCGACCTGGCAGCCAACACTGTAGGCTGTTCCGAGAATCTCCTTGACAGTACCAGAGAGCTCCTTGGCGAAAGACTTGTATCGCATGGTTCGGGCGATCTCGATGATTTCGTCAAGGCTGACAGACTTGTTGTGCTTGATGTTCTTCTCCTTCTTGCGATCACGAGGAGGCTCCTTGAGAGCCTTGATGATCAACGAGGAAGCAGTGGGCACAACCGACACGGCGGCCTGACGGTTCTGGATGGTGAGCTTGACAGTCACGCGCAAGCCTTTCTGAACACAAGGGTTAGTATACTTCAATGTGCAATAGGATTGAACACCATACCCAGTCGCCAGTGGCCTTGGCAATGTCTTCTCCGACCTTCTTGGGTGAGAGACCCAAAGGACCGATCTTTGGAGCAAGGGCAGAGGAAGCACCGACCTCACCACCAGTGGCACGGAGGTGGCTGCAAAATGTCAGTTTCAAGGTGTCCAAATTCTGCGAATGGAATCAACCTACATCACCTTGACCTCATTAGGATCGAACTTGGGAGCTGTTCATTGTGTAAGCAAGATGACCGTGCCTGATATTCGGGAGTGAAACGCACGCATTTTGTGTCGTGAAAGTCGGCAGAGGCTCGAGGTTTGCGTGCCGGAAGTAATGAACAGGCAGGTTGATCGAAAAGAAAACTTGAAGTTGTCACGAAATGTCAAAACTAAAAAATGCAGTATGTGGGCCATAACCTGCCCTAATCTGCTGAGTCAGCACGTATCACGTGCTATCATCCGCTCCCTCAAAGTACCTTACCTTTACCTAGGTACTTATGTAAAGCATCACAACGCAGCGAGGTACAAGATTATAGATCGACAAAGGGCTAGTCTCGGGTTTTAATTATTATAATACCTCTTAACTAGCACCATGGGGTTGTGAGAACTGTGTCGTCGCTATCTACGCCCCATCGTAAGACTTGATTTCCCATTGACTTCTTGAAATGGCAGCATGTCTGCCGTAAAGTCGCTTATTTGCCACCTCAATTGGTACCGCTCACAGCAAGCCTAGAAATTTTGTTAGCTCAACTCGATATGGGCAGCCTGCGTGGTTCAAACTTACTTCATCAAGTGGTCCATGAAGGTCTGCAGAGATACGTCGTCTGTGAAAATTGTCTGAGCCGTTGTGGCTCCTACACCACCATATGGACCAGTGGTGTGTGTAGTAGACGGGTTGAGCTTGGACAGGAGGAACCGAGCCTGAGAACCACCAGCATCGCAAACGATAAATCGAGGAAGAGGAAAGCGGTCAGTGATGAGATCCTAAACAGTTTAGTGACAGATTGAGAGTGGTTAAGGGTGAACTTACGCGAGCATCCTCCTTGGGTTGTTCCAACAAACTAGCAAAGTTCTCATAACCTTCTTGATCTTGGTAACCAGCCTTTCTCCACTCTGCAATTGTTTCACCGTGGAATATGAGAATATGGAAGAAAGTATCGAGAAGCAGAATGTGAGTTGGTTGGATAGAGGCTGAGTCCAAAAGAACTGGCTGGCCGCCATCCTGGTCGAAGGTGTAAGAGTCCAGGGTTGGCTGAATCATCACAAGTGAGTTGCTAACATCTTCATGGTTGAGCACGTGGCGATAGAAGGCTGTTTCATCGGGAGAGTTGTTGAAAACCTGTAGGAACTGGCTTCGTCTGAGATGGAACATGAATTGAGGGTATAGCGTGAAGTTCTTCTCCAGTCGGAAGGACGAAGGGTCATCTTTCCTGTAGTCCGCGAATCTGGAGCAGAGACGAATCAACATCCTATCAACCCATCGTAGGACATCAGGGCCATCGTCGACCTCGGCCTTGAACACAGCAATTCGTGACATCAGGACAGCGGCGGCCTCTTGGTCGAAGGACTGCGCGATTGCTGGGTCCCCAGCAGGGCTACTTAGGTTGCGGGCGACAGTCGTGACGCGGAGGTGGAACTGGCCCGACGAGTGCTGATAGTACGTCAGGAACTGCATCATGCCCTTCTGCGGTGCTTGTTGATGTGTGGCAGGACCTTGGCCGGCAATCTCAAAGTAGATACCGTAGCTCGATTTGGGGTCGATACCGCACATCTTCCAAGAACATGTGTTGCCAATTCCACATTCAGTCTCGCCCACAGATATCGACTTCTTGTTGAGAGAGACTGCGTGTCCAATGAGACCTGTGACCTTCAGTTCTTTTGTGGTCAGAACCTCCAACACTGCGTTGAAACCCATGAGTAGATTATCATCGCCATCCTTCTCAAAGATTCGCACGAAGGATTGTTTGAACATGGAAGAAGTGAAGCTATCAGTCAAAATCATATGACCACCGGTTGAATTGCATAGGCCCTTCATTTCGAGGAGACCGACCTGATCTAGACAACCAGCAAAAATGTCAATGATGTGGCCATTGTGTGCCGTTCGTTTGGCCAAGTTTTCGTAAAACTATAATGGGAAGATTAGAATAAGCTTAGAGTGGAAGTACAGAATGACACACCTTCAGAGCCTTCTTGTAATACTTGACGTTGTCTCGATCAATATCATGGTGGGATCGAATTGGCTCTCTCAACTCGGGTCCCACGACCATGCCAGGGCCTTCAGTAGCAGGGCCTCCCGCAAATAGCATGATGCGCCCACCTGCATTCTGGAAAGAGGACTCCAAGAGACCGACGGCAACGCTGAGGGCAACTCCAGTGCATCGAAGATTGCGTCTATCGTTCGCAACTGGCCAGGGATCCTTTTGAAGGGATTCGAGAGCCTTGGTCAGCTGGAACTCGGCCTGCTGGACAGGGAGGAGGAAGCGAGATGCCGGACCGGCAGGGAATGGGCGGCCAGGCTGAGGTTGCATGCCGGGTCGCACACCAGAGGA